GTATTCCGTGCCGCACGACGGTAAGGACAGTACCTACCCCAAACGACCCGATATAGGTGTGTGGTTCAGTCGGCACCGGGTGCGACAGACCACCCCAGCACCAGTGACGACCCGCATAGCGTGTTGTCTGTGTCGTACTGGCGGTAAGGACAGCATCACCCAGCACGACCCGTATGAGCAAGTGTGTGCTGGTCTCATATGTGTACTGGCGGTGGCGACAGCACCCAACACCAGTGCATGACCGGTATATAGTGGTGTTGGTCTGTGTCGTACCGGTATGACAGTACCTACCCCAGCACCACAGTGACGACCCGTAAGAGAAAGTGTTGTCGTGTCGTCGTACTGGCGTATAGCAGCACCCCACCAGCACGACCCGTATATAGTGTAAGTTGGTCTGCGTGTTGTACTAGGGTAAGGACAGCATCACCCAGCACGACCCGTATATAGTGTGTGTTGGTCTGTGTCGTGTACTGGCGGTAAGGACAGTACCACCCCAGCACGCGACCCGTACATATGTGTGTGTTGGTCTAGTGTCGTACTGGCAGGAGAGTGACAGTACCCACCCAGCACGACCCGTAAGGTAAAAGCTGTCTGTGTCGTGTACTGGCGGTATGACAGCACTCCACCTGCAACATAATGAACTCGGTATAGTGTGTGTTGGTCTGTGTCGTGTACTGGCGGTAGGACAGTCCCTACCCCGCACGATCCGTATATAGTGTGTGTTGGTCTGTGTCGTACTGGCGGTAAGGACGGTACCCAATCCCCAGCACGACCCGTATATAGTGTGTAAGTTGGTCTTTGTGTACTGACGAAGGACAGTACCTAACCCCAGCACGGACCCGTATATAGTGTGTGTTGGTCTGTGTCGTGTACCTGACGAGTAGGACAGTACCACCCCAGCACCAGTGATGACCTGTATATAGTGTGTGTTGGTCTGTTGTGTACTGACGGTAAGGACAGTACCTACCCCAGCACGACCCGTGTATATAGTGTGTGTTGGTCAGTGCTAGTACTGGCGGTATGACAGTAATCACCCCTACACCAGTGATGACCCATATAGTGTGTGTTGGTCTGTGTTGTGTACTGACAAGACAGCACCTCACCCAGCACGACCCGTATATAGTGTGGTTGGTCCGTACCTAGGTAAGGACAGTACTACCCCAGCACGACCTCATATATATGTTGGTCGCTGTTGTACTGGCGGTAAGGACAGTACCTACCCCAGCACGACCTGTATATAGTGTGTTGGTCTGTGTTGTACTGGCGGTAAGGACAGAATACCCCACGCACGACCCGTATATAGTGTGTGTTGGCTTCAGCGTACTGGCGGTAAGGACAGCACCTACCCCAGCACGACCCGTATATAGAGAGCTGGTCTGTGCTGTACTGTGAGACGACTGCTCTAATGTCTGTCTGTCTGTCTGTCTGTCTGTCTCATCCTTCCTCCATCTATGCTGTCCTTCCCACTCTTCCTCCCTCCCTCCCTCCCTCCCCCCCATCTCTATTTCATATCCCTTTATGACAATGGACGAGATTTACCAGAGCCCAAGAGAGGGGGGGAGGGGAGGGGGGACAGGAGGAGGGTAGAGGGGGTGGGGGAGGGGAGGGGTAGGAGGGGTGGTGGGAGGGGAGGGAGGGAGGGTGGTAGGGGAGGTAGGAGGGGAGGAGGGGAGGTAGGGAGGGGTGAGGGGGGAGGGGAGGAGGTGGGGAGGGTAGGAGGGGGGGAGGGAGGAGGGGGGGAGGTAGAGGGGGGGTGAGGGGATGAGGAGTGGGGTTTGCACTACAGGTGGGCGGGGTGAGTAGGCGTGTACTGAGCCACCACTGGATGATGGGGTGAGAGGCGCCCAGACGCGGCAGGTGAAGGTGGCGGCGGGAGGCGAGGACCCAAAACAGGGGCCACGTGCACACCGAGTGGTACTGTGGGTATACATACACGTACACTGAGTGACTGTGCTATTGGTGCACACACACACACTACACGTGAGGTCCTATAACACCATCTGTGAGGGAGCACTACACCACGTGAGGCCCTCATAACACCATCTGTAAGGAATTACTACACCAACGAGAGGCCCCTCATAACACCATCTGTGAGGGAATTACTACACCACGCCAGGTCCCCATAACACCATCTGTGAGGTAATTACACACCACGAGGTCCCTCATAACACCATCTGTGAGGTAATTACTACACCACTTGAGGCCCCTCATAACACCATCTGTGAGGAATTACTACACCACGTGAGGTCCCTCATAACACCAGCGAGAGTAATTACTACACCACTTGAGGTCCCTCATAACACCATCTGTGAAATTACTACACCACGTAGGGCCCCTCATAACACCATCTGTGAGGGAGTTACTACACCACGTGAGGCCCTCATAACACCATCTGTGGGGAATTACTACACCACGTGAGTCCCTCATAACACCATCTGTGAGGTAATTACTACACCACGTGAGGCCCTCATAACACCATCTGTGAGAATTACTACACCACGCCAGGTCTCTCATAACACCATCTGAGAAATTACTACACCACGTAGAGCCCTCATAACACCATCTGTGAGGTTACTACACCACTGAGGCCCTCATAACATCATCTGAGATTACTACACCACGTGAGGCCCTCATAACACCATCTGTGAGAATTACTACACCACGCCAGGCCCTCATAACACCATCTGTGAGAACTACTACACCACGTGAGTTCCTCCAAACACCATCTGGGAGGAGTTACTACACTACGAGTTTGCTGTTCCACTCACAATAATCTGTATGTTCACTGTATGTTCCTTTACCTTTCTCTAAAAGGCTTTTGTTAAACCACCAATGTATGTAATAAGTCATTTTATGTCAATGTATATTTGCAGCCTTCGGACTGCAGAATTTTTCAATAAAACCGTTAATTATTATTATTATTATTACACAACACACACACACACACACGCACACACACACACACACACACACACACACGAACACACACACACACGCACACACACACACGCACACACACACGCACACACACACACACACACACACACACACACACACACACACACACACACAGGCACGCACACACACACACACACACACACATACACACACACACACACACATACACACACACACGCGCACACACGCACACACGCACACATGCACACGCACACACGCACACACACACTCACACACACACACGCACACACACACACGCACACACGCACGCACACACGCACGCACACGCACACACACACACACACACGCACACACACACACACACACACACACCAAAAAGTTTTGTCAGTACTCACGGTTCACTATGATCGTGGCGGAGACGGTGTTGGTGATGGTGTTAGTGATGTGTTGGTGATGGTGTTGAGTGATGGTGGGGGTGGTGGGGGTGGTGGTGGATGATGGTGGTGGGGTAGTGATGGGGAGTGGTGGTGGGGATGATAGTGGTGGGGGTGATGGTGGTCGTGGTGGGGGTGGTGATGGTGGTGGGGGGTGATGGTGGTGGTGGTGGGGATGACGTAGGTGTGGGTGAGGGAGGTGAAGGAGCGTAGTGTTGGTGATTGAGGAGAGAAAGGTTAGTGTTAGTGGTTGAGGAGAGGAGGTGCTGTTGGAGACTGAGGAGAGGGGAGTAGTGGTGGTGATTAAGAGAGAAGGGTAGTGTTGGAAACTGAGGAGAGTGGAGTGTAGTGTTGGTGATTGAGGAGAGAGGAGGTACTGTTGGAGACTGAGGGAGAGAGGAGAATTACTGTTGGAGACTGAGGGAGAGAGAAGGGTACTGTTGGAGACTGAGGGAGAGAGAAGGGTAGTGGTGGTGATTGAGGGAGAGAGGGAGGTAGTGGTGGAGCAGGTAACAGTAGCGCCAGCTGTTGTCCGGGACGCCACTAATTGCAGGTGGGTCTTGGCCACGCCCCCCACACGCTCCACTGGTGACGCCCCGCCCACAGACACGCCCACACCGCCCCATACCAGGCCAGGGGGCGGCTCTGCGAATGACAAGAAACACAGGATATGAACACTACAACCACAACAACCATTACAGTCACCACAACTACAACAACCACAACCATCACAACAACAACCACCACAACTACCACAACTACCCGCAACTACAACCACCACAACCACAACCACAACAACCATTACAGTAACCACAACTACTACAACAACAACCACCACAACAACAACCACCACAACAACAACCACCACTACAACCACCACAACTACAACCACACAACTACAACTACAACCACCACACTAGTAAAGAGCGAATACAGTATTGGAATGAACGATAGTTATAGTTGGTTTATAAACAGAAGTGAGTTGACTGCTGCATACACAACAAGAAATACACACACACATACACAACAAGATATACACATACACGAGATATACACACACACACAACAGAGATATACACACATCCATAATACACAACAAGATATACACACACATCATACACAACAAGATATACACACACACATACACAAGATATACACACACATCATACACAACAGAGATATACACACACATCATACACAACAAGATATACACACACACATACACACAAGATATACACACACATCATACACAACGAGATATACACACACACATACACAACAGAGATATACACACATCATACTACAGATATACACACACATCATACACAACGAGATATACACATCATACACAACAAGATATACACACACATCATACACAACAGATATACACACACATCATACACAACAAGATATACACACACACATACACAACGAGATACACACACACACATACACAACGAGATATACACACACATCATACACAACAAGATATACACACACACATACACAACAAGATATACACACACATACACACAAGATATACACACACATCATACACAACAAGATATACACACACATACACAACGAGATATACACACACATACACAAGAGATATACACACACACATACACAACGAGATATACACACACACATACACAAGGAGATACACACACACATACACAACAGGATATACACACATCACACACAACGAGATATACACACACACATACACAACGAGATATATACACACACACATACACAACGAGATATACACACACACATCATACACAACAGAGATATACACACACATACACAACAAGAGATATACACACACACATACACAACAGAGATATACACACACACATACACACAACAGAGATATACACACATCATACACAACGAGATATTCACACACATCATACACAACAAGATATACACACATCATACACAACGAGATATACACACACACATCATACACAACAAGATATACACACACATCATACACAACAGATATACACACACACATACACAACAGAGATACACACACACACATACACAACGAGATATACACACACATCATACACACAACAAGATATACACACACACATACACAACAGATATACACACACACATACACAACAGAGATATACACACACATCATACACAACAAGATATACACACACATACACACAAGATATACACACACACATACAGAGATATACACACACACCATACACAACAGAGATATACACACACACATACACAAGAGATACACACACACACACACATACACAACGAGATATACACACACATCATACACAACAAGATATACACACACACACATACACAACGAGATATATACACACACATACACACAACGAGATATACACACACACATCATACACAACAAGATATACACACACATACACAACGAGATATACACACACATCATACACACAAGGATATACACACACACATACACACAACAAGATATACACACACACACATACACAACAGAGATATACACACATACACAACGAGATATACACACACATCATACACAACAGAGATATACACACTACATACACAACGAGATATACACACATACATACACAACGAGATATACACACATCATACACAACAGAGATATACACACACATCATACACAACAAGATATACACACATACACAACAAGATATACACACACACATACATAACGAGAGAGAGAGAGAGAGAGAGAGACGGAACACCTAGTAAACAATGTTATATATCAACCACGACCACCACAACAACCACCACAACAACAACCACCACAACAACAACCACAACAACCACCACCACAACAACCACCACCACAACAACCACCATCACCACAACCACCACAACAACAACCACCACAACAACAACCACCATCACCACTACCAACAACAACAACAATATTTAACCCTGTATAATTTTTTTTTAACAACTTTGATAAAAAAAAAATTTGTACCAGAAAAAAATATTTGTTCGTATTTATGTTTTAATTTGTATGATTATGATTTTGTTTTTATAGTATAGATAGATAGATACAGTATGGCAGTATAGTATAACAGGTATATAGTATAGTGTAGATACGTGTTATAGTATGAATGAGTTATATTTGTAAAGTATATAAAATAGTTATATATATATTATGAGGGTAAAAATTATAGAATCGTATTTAACGTCGTGATATAATTTTGGAGAATAAGAATATTAATTTTACTTAATTCTATTCACGAGACGTTTCTCTGTCTCTCTGTCTCTCTTTCTCTCTCTCTCTCTCTCTCTCTGTCTCTCTCTCTCTCTCTCTCTCTCTCTCTCTCTCAACACAGAGGCCCAGCCAACAGGACCATTCACTTAAAGCAGCACCGGCCGACCACAAGTCAACTTTTACCGCATGTTGGAACTAAGGCGATCCACGGTAGATAGATAGATAGATAGATAGATAGATAGATAGATAGATAGTGAGGCAGGTAGATGGATGGATGGAGAGACAGACAGACAGACAGACAGACAGATAGACAGACAGACAGACAGACTCAGTAAGTTCGTCATATATATTCTCATTGATTCAGTGTGTACATAAACAGTGTAGGTATTCGTCACACACACACACACACACACCTCACCACCTCCCTCACACCTCACCACCTCCCTCACACCTCACCTCCTCCCTCACACCTCACCTCCTCCCTCACACCTCACCTCCTCCCTCACACCTCACCTCCTCCCTCCCCTCCCACCTCCCCTCCCCTCCTCCCCTCCCACCTCCCTCCTCCCTCCCCTCCTACCTCCCTCCCCACCCCACCACCTCCCCTCACCCCACCTTCTCCCTCCACACCTCACCTTCCTCCCTCACGCCTCACCTTCTCCCTCACACCTCACCACCTCCCTCACACCTCACCACCTCCCTCACACCTCACCACCTCCCTCACACCTCACCTCCTCCCTCACACCTCATCACCTCCCTCACACCTCACCTCCGGCAGCAAGACACACCATCCTCACTGTAGCACCATCCTTATAGGGGCCAACGGGTCCTTCCAGGCGTCTTCCAACCTCATCCTGGATCCTAGGATATCTTGCAGGATCTGGAACGTGAGAAATATATCCTGGAAGGTCTGGAACGTGAGAAATATATCCTGGAAAGTCTCGTACGTGAGAAATATATCCTGGAAGGTCTGGGACGTGAGAAATATATCCTGCAGGATCTGGAACGTGAGAAATATATCCTGCAGGATCTGGAACGTGAGAAATATATCCTGGAAGGTCTGGTACGTGAGAAATATATCCTGGAAGGTCTGGTACGTGAGAAATATATCCTGGAAGGTCTGGAACGTAATAAATATAACCTGGAAGGTCTGAAACGTGAGAAATATACCCTGGAAGGTTTGGAACGTGAGAATTATGTCCTGGAAGGTTTAAGAGGAACCAGATATATACGCCTACAAAATTATTTTCTTCACACACACACACACACACACACACACACACACACCGTCGAGATATTCAGCCGGAAAAAATATGAACGACAAAAGAAATATCTAAAAGAAAAGAAAAGAGACGCTAAAAAATATATAAGATTGTGTATATCTTGTGTGTATATCTTAATAATGTATATCTGTGTGTGTATATCTGTGTATGTATAGGGGTCTCTGTCAGTGTCTTCCCCTGGTAGGGGTGGCGGGAAGAGGAGGGGGTGGTGGAGGATAAGGAGGGAGGAGGTGGAGGAGATAGAGAAAAGAGAATGGGAAGAGGAGGAGGATGAAGGGGTTGGTGACGGGGAGGATGAAGGAGGAGAGAGGGTTGAAGAATGGGGAGACAGATGGACGAAAGAATGACGAAAGAAGGAAGAAGAGGACGAAAAGAGACGAAGGATAGGATACAGATGGACGAAAGAATGACGAAAAGAAGGAAGAAGAGGGACAGAAGGATAGGAAGACAGATGGACAGAAAGAATGACGAAGATGGACGAAAAGGGACGAAGGATAGGATACAGATGGACGAAAAGGACGAAAGAAGGACGAAAAGAGACGAAGGATAGGATACAGATGGACGAAAAGGACGAAAGAAGGACGAAAAGGGACGAAGGATAGGATACAGACGGACGAAAAGGGACGAAAGAAGGACGAAAAGGGACTCTGGCATAGCTGGAATTACACCTCATTAATTTTACCATTATTTCTTGATATGCAGACCCGTAATGCACACTACTTCATTAATAATAAGTGTAATTCCTTCAGTATTTTCTATTTAAAGTAACATTAATAAGCTTGAACCAGGTACAGTTATAGTGGATGGTTATATAAAGATCGTAGGTACTGTTAAACTCTGATAACTTTAATATGAATAAATGATAAAGTATAATATGTTAATGATAGATAGTATGCAAAGTTTATACAGTTTCAGTACAGTCAATACGTATATAATTCCACCCTCTAACCTAACCTAACCTAACCTAACCTAACCTAACCTAACCTAACCTAACCTAACCAAACATAACCTTAATCATGCAGGTGCTAAACAGGGCGAGATAATACTGCAGAGTTTATCTGTATACGTGTGTCTTAAATCCGTATACAGTATTTATATAGATCATCTCCCTCATACTCACTCACTGTCTCATACTTCACTACTGTCCCCACATATCACCACTGTTCCTCATACTTCACTACTATCCCTCATACTTCGCTACTGTCCCTCACACTTCACACCATCTCTCTGCGTCTATTACATAACACCTCACAGGTTAATGAGTGACCTTAGGTAGAAGCCCTGATATGAACCTAACCTAACCTAACCTAACCTAACCTAACCTAACAAAAAGAACCCTTAAAAGTGTAAACAGGAAAGAACTTATTGATGAATTGGACGCAAGTAGACAAGTGCAAACAGGCATTCGTCGATCCATAGTTTACCATGATGAGATGTATCAAGTGAAACATGTATATGGAGCAAGTAACAAGATCACTAGATAACAGGATGTTGGTCAGGATATAAGTACCTCTGGCAGTATGTTCCTCAAGCAGATGTGAACGAGACTAAAGTGTGTGGCCAGACATATGGCCACACACTCCAACACTACGTCTTAGACTGTGTGAAGATAGAACCTTTTAGGGACAGGTCCAAGCACACTGTGTGTGAAATGGCACAACACTTCATCTCTAATGGCAAGATAGCCGACATATTAAGATTGTATCCACTTTTTTGCACTTAGTAACTATATCAGTTCTCATGTACAGAACCAAATACACAATGTGCTTGAATACTTCTCACGTAAATGTGAATAACAAAGTGTGAGGCCAGACATACTGCCTCACACGCCTGTACTCACGCAGTTGTGAATAATTTACCCTTTATGTACAGAAGAAAACAAAGAATTTAAGTGAAATACTATGTAACATACAATGCCACAATCTTGAACACGGGGTTTAATTATTCTGACCCTTTGTAAACCTTACTTTGTAATCTTTTTACGCCACCGCTCACAGGATTAGTATGGGGCGCACAATAAACTAGCTACTGTATGTGGTAAAAGTAAAATTAATCCTAACCTAACCTAGAAAGAATCATGTTTTAAAAAAGGATAAAACCCACAACTAAAGAGACTCAACTAACCTTGTACCGTGAGGGTGATTCTCTGAGACCATGAAGGAGAGGACCTGAAGTGTACCTTACAAGTATAGGTACCCTCATCACGTCCACGGACCTCCCTCAACACCAGGTGGGCGTGGGGGGTACTAGAGGTGTCAAACCACGCCCTATCACCCTCTCCCCACGCCTCTTCATCCCCCCACTGATGACCACCACCACCAGACAACCCCTCTCCCTCCTTCTGATCTTCCTCTTCCTCCTTCGTCGTCGCCTTCTTCTTCGTCGTTGACATTATCTCCTGCAGGCCCCTAGAGTCGTAACTGGAGGAGAGACGGTAAGTGGGTTAGGTTAGGTAAGATTGTTTAGTCTCCTTAGGGTAAACAAAGCTTCAGAATACTATAGTGGAGACAGAGAGACAGACAGAGAGACAGACACAGAGAGACAGACAGAGACAGACAGAGAGACAGACAGAGAGACAGACAGAGACAGACAGAGAGACAGACAGAGACAGACAGAGAGACAGACAGAGACAGACAGAGAGACAGACAGAGACAGACAGAGAGACAGACAGAGACAGACAGAGATAGACAGAGAGACAGACAGAGATAGACAGAGAGACAGACAGAGAGACACAGAGAGACAGAAAGAAAAAAGAGACAGTTACAGACAGAGAGAATGAGCAATAGCGAGACACAGAGATACACACACACACAATAACAGAAATAATGAGCCACAAAGAACGAGAACGAGAACGAGAACGAGAGCGAGGCGTCACAAAGTCTCTTGGGAGCTGTACAGCCACACCAAAACTCATCACCAAACTTGAAATTGATGTTTGTGAAGGCTAGTTGGGACGTGACGTATATCTTGAGGAGGAGGAGGAGAGGGTAGTGGAGGAGGAGGAGGGAAGGAGAAGAAGAGGAGAAGGAGAGGGGTGGTGGAGGAGGAGAGGGAAGGAGAAGGAGAGGAGAAGGAGAGGGTGGTGGAGGAGGAGGGAAGGAGGAGGAGAGAGAAGGAGAGGTGGTGGAGGAGGAGGGAGGGAAGAGGAAGAGGAGAAGGAGAGGGTGGAGGAGGAGGGGGAAGAGGAGGAGAGGAGAAGGAGAGGGTGGTGGAGGAGGAGGTGGGAAGGAGGAGGAGGAGAGGAGGAGGGAGGAGGAGGAGGAGGAGGAGGAGGAGGAGGAGGAGGAGGAGGAGAGGAGGAGGAGGAGGAGGAGGAGGAGGAGGAGGAGAGGAGGAGGAGGAGAGAGGAGGAGGAGGAAGAAGAAGGTGCTTTCCAGGTAAGATTTCACTCCACTAATCACTAATTGGTTTTGAGCATTTAAAATCAGGTGAGTAGGGGTCACCTAACTTAAGGTAGGGGGGAACCTAACCCTAACCTATAACTGTAGACAGGAGTGACGGTAGTGGCACTGTACTATAGGAGGGTGACGGAGGTGTTCCTGTACCATAACACCAGGAGAATTGGCCTCAGGTGTACCGGGAAGTGACGTCACAGGGGAGCTTAGCAGTGGAGCCCTCATAGCAGTCACAGCCACCAGAGACCCTGAGGAGGAGAACACCTGTGTCAACACTCCTGCCGGGCCTGGAGAGAGAGAGAGAGAGAGAGAGAGAGAGAGAGAGAGAGAGAGAGAGAGAGAGAGACTCTGTTAACGTGGTCAGAGAGAGAGAGAGAGAGAGAGAGAGATCGTTAACGTGGTCAAAGGCATTCCCACTACGTTGCTGAGAGACACGATTTGACTTCCATGCTTCGGCGGGCGTGGCTAATTATTAGGTGGGCCTAACTACGTAGGCGTATTATGTGGCGGAGCTGAGTGGGCGTTGCTAGGTGGGCGTTGCTAGGTGGGCGTGGCTAGGTGGGCGTTGCAGCAGGCGTGGCTAAGCATGGGGCGTGGCTATGGGCGTGGCTTGGTGGGCGTTGCTAAGTGGGCGCTAGTTTTCAGGCAGGCGTTGCTAGGAAATATTAAAGAGGAAAGTTAAAAGCGTAGAAGAATTGCAATACTAGAGAGAGAGAGAGAGAGAGAGAGAAGAGAGAGAGAGAGAGAGACCCCAGGTGTATCAAGAGAAGTAGCTTTATTAAACACCCACACACACCCACACACACCCACACACACACCCACACTCACCCCAATCTTCTTCAGGCGGGTACGGGTAACACAGGATGAAGACTGTGCTGTTGGCCCAAGACGAGACCATAAGTACAGTTGACCCATTACTACAGCAGTCTCCCTCACTGCCCCACCCTCCTCCCTCTCCTCCCCACACCACATTGCCACAGTCACAGATCAGGAGGGGAGGAGAGGGTGGTGGTGGTGGTGGTGGTGGTGGTGGTGGTGGTGGTGGTGGTGGTGGTGGTAGTGGAGGTGGAGGACGTGGTGGTGGTGGAGGACTTTCTTGTTGTTGTTGTTTTGTGACCGGAGATATACTGTTGTGACGTATTATTTCTTAGTCTTCCACCTGTTGTGACGTACACCTTTAAAATTCTGTTAGTCCTCGCACTTATGATAAAAAAAATACTATTGAGCTCTCTATTGTATTTCAGTAACAAGAAGTTTCCTGTTAGCAAAAACCAACAGAACGATAATGATAAGAGAGAGAACCATACATACATACACACATACATACATACATACATACATACACATTCATTGTAATCAGTCAATAATCAAAATATATATAATGAAAGATAACAAAAATTAAAAATAACTAACAATTACATTCAAACAATTCAACTATATACTAACAAAAAACAATATATATTAATGTTTTATTATATAAGTAGAGTAATTTAGGTGACATTAAGTATTTGTTGGATGATGCGTTTACCTGTAATATAAAGGTAGGAGTTATATCATTAACTACTTAATTGGTTGAATAATATGATAATGAATGAGTTTATTGCCAATGGTGATAATATGTCTAGGTAAATAGGTTTGTTTACTGTGTTTTGTGTTTATGTAGGTTAGGTTAGGTTAGGGGTAGGTTAGGTTTGGTTAGATTAGGTTAGGGGTAGGCTAGGTTAGGGGTAGGTTAGGGGTAGGTTGGGATTGGGTTGAGATGGAGTTAGGTTTGGTTGGGGAGTGGAGTTAGGTTAGGGGTGGAGTTAGGTTAGGTTAGGGGTAGGTTAGGGGTAGGTTAGGTTAGGGATAGGTTAGGTTTGGTTAGGGGTAGGTTAGGTTAGGTTAGGGGTAGGTTAGGTTAGGTTAGGTTAGGTTAGGTTTATTATTTGGAGATCAAATTCTAGGGATAAAGGGAAAAAACGGGGAAATTTTAGTCAGGGAAAAAAATTAGACAAAATACGTTCGTTGATGCCTTAATTTAATGTATATATACAGCCACATACATTGATAAATATCCTAACATATTCATAAGATCACACGCTTCCATACATATATAGTACACACACGTATTATGTACACATTCACTCTGTTATACACATACATACAACCATACACACACATGTACACCTTTACATCATCATACACATAATCAAACACACACACACACACGTATATACACATTCAGACCATCATACACATATACAGTACACATACACTCATGCACATATACACTCATGCACACACACACACACACACACACACACGCACACACACACGCGCACACACACACACACACACACACACACACACACACATTTCCTCAGGGATTAAAATGACAAGAGGAAAGTTATTTTAGTATTTACGAGAAAATATTTAAATTTGTAGGAATGTTCACATGTTGTTGTTATTTGTTATTGTTTATGTTGTTGTTTTTATACTCGTCAGGTGAAGTAATAATAATAATAATAATAATAATAATAATAATAATAATACGATATCTCCCATATTCTATAAAAAATAAATATAGATTAAGTTACGCTAAAATGACTGTTAAGTATACCTAAACAAAGACCACTATTGCTCTCTTTAATACATTCAAGCAAAGATCTCTCTCTCTCTCTCTCTCTCTCTCTCCATATATATTTATTGTATATATGTGTAATTACATTTTTCTTTCGCCACAGTCACGCATTAGTAGTTGTTATCACATATGAAACCCTCTGTGTGTGTGTGTGTGTGTGTGTGTGTGTGTGTGTGTGTGTGTGTGTGCGTGTGTGTGTGTGTGTGTGTGTGTGTGTGTGTTATATAGGGAGTCAGAAAAATTTATACTCCCTTTACGACAAATTTCATGAAAATAGGATTAAATTTTTCAGTTTCTGTCATATTATGAATGATTATCACGTTTCAGCCAGTTTCAGGCAGGCAACACAAGTTTTAGGAAAGTTTCAGGGGGGCACCAAACGTTTCAGTCAGTTTCAAGAGGGCACCAAACGTTTCAGCAAGTTTCAGGAGGGCACCAAACGTTTCAACAAGTTTCAAGAGGGCACCAAACGTTTTAGCAAGTTTCAAGAGGGCACCAAACGTTTCAGCAAGTTTCAGGGGAGGCACCAAACGCTCTCAGCAAGTTTCAAGAGGGCACCAAACGTTTCAGCAAGCTCAGGAGGGCACCAAACGTTTCAGCAAGTTTCAGGAGGGCACCAAACGTTTACAAGTTTCAGGAGGGCACCAAACGTTTCAGCAAGCTTCAGGAGGGCACCAAACGTTTCAGCAAGTTTCAGGAGGGCACCAAACGTTTCAGTCAGTTTCAAGAGGGCACCAAACGTTTCAGCAAGTTTCAAGAGGGCACCAAACGTTTCAGCAAGTTTCAAGAGGGCACCAAACGTTTCAGCAAGTTTCAAGAGGGCACCAAACGTTTCAGCAAGTTTCAAGAGGGCACCAAACGTTTCAGCAAGTTTCAAGAGGGCACCAAACGTTTCAGCAAGTTTCAAGAGGGCACCAAACGTTTCAGCAAGTTTCAAGGAGGCACCAAACGTTTTCAGCAAGTTTCCAGGAGGGCACCAAACGTTTCAGCAAGTTTCAGGACGGCACCAAACGTTTCAGTCGGGGCTTGAAGAGTGGCACCAAACGCTTCAGCAAGTTTCAGGAGGGCACCAAACGTTTCAGCAAGTTTCAAGAGGGCACCAAACGTTTCAGCAAGTTTCAGGAGGGCACCAAACGTTTCAGCAAGTTTCAAGAGGGCACCAAACGTTTCAGCAAGTTTCAAGAGGGCACCAAACGTTTCAGCAAGTTTCAGGAGGGCACCAAACGTTTCAGCAAGTTTCAGGAGGGCACCAAACGTTTCAAACCAGTTTCAGCAGGACACCACACGTTTCAAGTACTTTCAGGATCTAGTTTAAGTTTCAGGAGAATATCACACGATTCAGTCTGTTTCAAAACTATATATATACACGTCATGTTTCAGACGCACTTCAGAGAGAGA